CCATGCACCACTTGTGCCTTATTCAATAATTTATTTCCTCTTAAATAAACTTTTGTTGTTCCTCTCCGTCGGTGTCTTGTCTGTCAAGTCAAAACCCCAAAGAAGACAGGGCCTCTGTTTACCTCACGCACAGGCACAGCCTTAGTCCAGCATGTGTCCAAATAAGAGACTTATAGGGAGCACATTGTGTACACGCGGCCAGTCTCTAACTCAAAGAGTGCGCCGCTCCCACCCACCCTTTATCCGATTGTGGGTGGCTGGGGTATAAGGAATCTACAGGAGAGGTGGGGGGGCAGGATACTCTTCAATCTGGAAGGCAGTTAACCTCAGAGCCTCCCCCCTCCCCCCATAGCCCACCCAAGGACCCAAAACAGCTTCCACGGGTCTCCTCTCCTCCACTTTATCCTCACAGCAGCCCTCTGAGGTAGATCAAGATGGGTAGCCCTGTTAAGACTGTCTGTAGCCATAGAAAAGAGCAAGAGCCCAGGTCTCTGTAGCCATAAAAAGAGCAAGAGCCCAGAAGCACCTGAAAGACTCACAAAATTCATGGCAGGGGAGGAGCTCTTGTGAGTCACCGCTCACTTCTTCAGATACCTTCAGGTGTCTTACTCTTTTCTACTGCCTCTGAGGTAGGTTCGCCTCAGAGGGGGTGACTGGCCCAAGTCCGCCCAGCAAGCTTCTGTGGCAGAAGTGGGGAGTCGAACCTGGGTCTCCCAGATCCTAGCCTGACACGCTAACCACTAAACCGTATTACAGAACGGTACAGCTGGGCCAGGAGATAAAATGGCATAAACAGTAGCTCTGGTTTCTGGTCTTCCACGTACACCATATGCCCCTCTGGCTGTTTTCTTTTTGCCCTTTCAATTCAATAAGGACTAGATGTTCCTTTTGTGTTTTCTTCCACACTGCGAGACGTCTCGTGATGGCACAACTATAGAAGCAGCACTGAAATGACTGTGCAGATTTTGCTTAAAACACAACAGCAACTCGCCCCTGCTGAAGGACATCTAGACCCAACAATACTGGCTCATCAACGTACCTAGAAAGCCCAGCAGAGGTGAGCAGGGTGGCTTGGGTAGCGGCGTGCCTATAAGACGAGTCCTGCTGGACCAGATCAGGGGTCCATCTTGCCCACCATTCTGTTTCACAGAGATGCCCAGGAGGTCCAAGAGGGCACAGGTGCCAAGGAGAGCCAGGCTCAAATCTTCACGCAGACACAGGAGCTTGCTGGGTGACCTTGGGTGAGTCACAGTCTTGGCCAAGCCTACCTCACTGGGTTATTGTGAGGCTAAAATGGAGGAGAGATATAAGCCACTTTGGGGTCCCCTGAAATAAATGTTGCTTCCTAGATATGGTATTCAGAGGCTTACTGCCTCTCTGGGTGTGGCGGTTCCCTTTTGACACCGTAGTTTTCATTGTTTTACCGCTGCTTTATGCCAGGACTGAATGACACACAGAATAAAAACTCCCAGTGAGTCCTTGTCCTGTCCTAGGAAATTACAACATGGGTGTGTGTGTGTGTTCCTACAGCTATTATTTCCACCTTCCTGGACGCTCTCTGGCCATCTTCCTCTTTTCTTAGAAGCAAAAATGTTGTGTTGACATGAGGATGGGATTCTTTTGTTTCTGAAATTCACTTTTTAAAACCGCACGGCCACTGATTCCACTTATCATCTCTTAAAACTGGAATCTCTCCTTAGTACGGTCAGTCCTTGCATCTGTCTTAAGTTACACACTGTGGGGTGCAGCAGTAATAGTAGGACGACACTGTCTGCCTCTGAGCATATATACAGAGTCAAATCTGAGATTCCACAGAACCTCCCTCCCTCCCCCCATTAGAAACACTCTCAAATTCCTAAAAAGAGGGAAAGAAACAGATCCTGGGATTTCAGGGAGAAACTGGGTGAAGAGGGACCCAGAGGCAAACTGCAGGGGCTTCCATCATCACCTACTCCCCCAGAGGGTAGCAGCCAGAAGACGAATTCCCTGCAGGCCCTTTGCTGGGAAGCAAATCGTATTCCCTCGGGGAGGGCTTGCTCCCGAGCAGCCCATCGCCTCCTTTCACACCACCGGCACCCCCCCACCGCCTTTTGCACAGTCACGCCTCAGGCAGGCTGCTCTTGCTTTTCTCCAAGGCAGGGGCAAAGAAGACCCGATCCGCCGCCCGCACGCCGACAAACGGCCGCCAGCTCCAGTCGTGCACAGCTCCCGCGCGCACCCCGCCGCGCCAGGGCCCAGACCCGGG